CGGGCGCGACACTGAGGGTTGCGATCCGTTGCCGGTCACGAAAAAAGACAAAATAAAAGGACAAAAAAAAAAATACAAATTAGCTTTAAGGGATTTATTTCTGCAGCATCCACCAGAAAGTGGTGAACAGGTGGGCAGAGGCCCTGGCTGGTTGATCACCCGGCTCTGGTTGGGCTCCTCTTGGTAGAGTTCTGCTGATGTTCCTACCCTCGGGAAGGGGCAAGCACATTTGGAGAACCCAAAACATGCCAAGGTGACCACAAAGATGTTTCAGGAAAGATACTTCGGGCTGAAGCATCGCACCAGACACCGGGGCTATGGGGTGGGTAGGTGCAGAATGTTAGAACCTGACCTACACAGAGGCCTTCATGAAAGGGGGCTTAGGAAGCGAGCTGGTGGGCCCAGGGAGCAGGAGGGGGCTGGGGGGGTGCAGCTTACTTGGGGTGGGCAAGGGTTGGGGGTGGGGGGCCTCCCTCCCAAGTACCCGCAGGCCATGTTCGCTGTGTTTACCTTGGTGGGGAGGTGTTGGCTGCACAGAGCCAGGGGAGAAAACACATCACAAACCCCGAGCTGTTTCACTCTGTCCACTTATGCGGTCTTTGTGTTCATAAACGTCCTTCAAGTTCCCTTTGCTTTCTAAAGGGCTCATAGACACACACACACTAACCACACAGACAGGAGCCACACAGGTGCCCTTCTTGAGCCATCTCAAAGTTACAGGCAGCTGAAGCCGGCTCCCATTTTGCCTACACACTGGCCCAGGGAAATGCAGAAAGACTTCAGTACCCTGATTTGTCATCAGCTGTCCTTACCGCATCACCTGCACACCCCGTGGCTATTGCGTAGTGTGGGGAAAATAGAATAGTTTAGTCAGCCCCTTCCACCTCAGGTCTGGTTGGGGGTCGTGCAGCACATTTCGTGTAAACAAGTTGTGCGTGGGTCAAGTTAGTGCACATGTGCACCTATGTATCTTTTTAGTTTTGTTGCTATTGTGTGTTCTTCAGTTTGTGAAGCAGTGCTGGCCTGGCCGGTAGAGCTCGGGTCTAAAAACAGAGCATGTTTACTCTGCTGGCAGCTGCTCAGTTTTTTCTTTGGACTTTGCCGGTAGCAGTTGAGTTTCTGAGCTTCTTTTGGGACTGCCTGGGTATTAGTGTGTGTGCTGAATAAAAACTACTGTTTCTTCACCTACGGCTCCAAGGACCTTCTTTCTGGTTACCTAGCTCATAGACCTGTGTGTGAAGGGTTTGTGAACAGGCTTGAGGGGTCTGTGAGCTCCAGACCCAGCCCTAGCTCTACACATAGGTATCAGCAGCTTCGGTAGTGTTTGTGCTGTGTCTCTCCTTTCTTGTCCCTTCCTGTTCCTTTTATTGCTACAACACTGACTCAACAGAACTGAGAGTTCATGAGTTCTTACTCTGAGATAGGGCATTGGGGTTATAATTCTTTTACATCAGGAGTCACCTTTTCTGTAAAGAGCCAGATAGTAAGTACAGACTTACAATGGGGCTACATCCGCTTAAACCCATTGTTAAGTTGAAAACTCATAAATTGAACCATTACAAATCGGGGTCGGTCTATATTTGCGGCTTGGCAGACCACATGGTCTCTCCTGCAGCTACTCGACTCTGTCATTGCATGGAAAGACAACACGTAAAGGAACAGGCACAGCTTGTGCCAATAAAATTATCTGTGAACACTGAAATGTGAATTTCATGTAATTTGCACGTGTCACAAAATAACATTCTTTTGATTTTTTTCAACCATTTCAAAATGTGAAAATCATTCTCAGCTCACAGGCAGCACAAAACCAGGCAGTGGGCTGCATCCAGTCTGGATCTAGGCATGGTTTGCCAACCCCTGCTCTCCAGGAAAGAGACAGAAGCACCCAGGACTTCTGTCTGGTTCTTAGGTGCCTAACAGCACTGGCTGGAGGAGGGAAAGCCACGAGGAAGGCGAGGAAAGGCGCCTGTTGCTGGGCAAGTGGGCACGAACTTCTGGTCTCTGCTCTGACTCGGAGTCTGAAATATTACTCACAAGCCAAGAACCAGTCTCCGATGCTTGGGCTAGAAGCCATCACACTTGCGGTGTCAAGCGGCCTCTTGCTTTAGAGCTGACTGCTCCTGTCCCATCCCCTGGGAGCAAGTGGGCAGCCCCATCCCCACCCGTCCATCATGCCCAACTTAGGGGTGGCTCGGTGGCTGGCAGGCCCCTGTAGGCCAGCAGGTCTAAGAACCACACCAATGAGTATGTTGCTCCATAGAAGCCTGGCCAATTGCCCCAGGTTCAGTCCTCCCCGACCCGTCTCCCAGCCTCTGTCCGCCGTCTCCCCAGCTCCATGGTGATCCGGGACCTGACCCTGCGCAGTGCTGCGAGCTTCGGTTCCTTCCACCTCATCCGCCTGCTCTATGATGAGTACATGTTCTACCTGGTCGAGCACCGTGTCGCCGAGGCAACTGGAGAGACGCCAATCGCTGTCATGGGAGAGGTGAGGGGACCCTGGTACGGCACCCTGGAGGGCCGAGCCTGCAGGGAGAGGGAGGCATACTGCGAGTGTGGACGCAGTGGACAGCCCAGAGAAAACATTTGCAGGAGGCCAGGGACGGGGAAGAGGCCGAGAGACCTGGGTCCAGATCCTAGCTCCTCTGCCACCTACTCACTGCCACCTGGCAGGCTTCCTGTCACCAAAATGATGCCTCGAACACCCCCTTCCCACCATGGGTGGTGTTTTTACTAATTGAGGTAAAATACACATAACATAAAATTTACCATTTTCAAGTGCACAATTCAGTGGCATTTAGTGCATTCACAATGTGCCACTATCACCAGTATCTAGTTCCAGAACAGTCCATTGCCCCAAAAGGAAACTCCCTTTCCATTAGCGGCCACTCCCCACCCACCTCCTCCAGCCACTGACAGTCACTGATCCACTTTCTGTCTCTGTGGACAGAATGGAATAAATGGAATCACATACTGTGTGGCCTTTTGTGTCTGGCATCGGTCACTGAGAGTGACTTGTTCAAGGTTCATCCACGTGGTAGCGTGTGTCAGAGCCTTGCTCCTGTTCATGGCTAAGTGATGTTCCAGTGTGTGGATGGACCATGCCATGTTTGTCCATTCATTTGTGAGTGGGCACTTGTGTTGTCTCCATCTTTTGGCTGTTGTGTCACACTGCTGTGAGCATTTGTGTACAGGTCTTTGCACACCTAGGTTCCATTCTCTTGTGCCTGCACCCAGGAGCGGAATTGCTGGGTTGGGTGGGGTAGTTTTGAGGAAGAAATGAGGTGAAACTTGTGGAGCTTTTACTACATGATAAGCCCAGGATCAATGGTGACCACTACCCCTCCCCCCCGCAAACTTACTTTTCAGAGACAACACTCCAAGGGCTAGTGACCAGGACCCACCACTTACCACGCTGGCATGGGTGCTGGGCCCTGCTGGGAGCCATGGGTAGTTTTCATGCCATGCACAGACTCCAGGAGCTCACAGACCCTCCAGCCACCACAAAAGGCTGGATCAGCAACACCCCAGGGCTTTCCGCTGCTAGCTCCCTGTCCCCTGGCTGGCCCCAGCAGTCAGCACCCCCTTACCCTCCATCAACTCCCAGGTGTGGCCTGGAAAGTGTCAAGGGGACCCACCTGCCACCTGGCAGTGTCAAAGCCACTTCTCAGGGCAGAACCCCAGTCATGTAACTGAACAGAGGACGTTGCTTAAGGCCATTTGGGTAACATACCCTGAGACCCTCCTAGAGAGTAACTGCCACCCCTCTGCGGACGCCCCTGACTCTGAGTTTATCTTTCAGTTCAACGATCTCGCCTCCCTGTCACTGACGCTGCTTGACAAAGGTGCGTGTGTCTGTGGCTTTGGCCCTCCGAGGGCTATCCCTCCCAGCCTTGGCCTGGCTGCCCCATCACACAATCTGCAGGCGGGTGGAGGCCCTGGGGCAGGTTGAGGGCCCTGGGGACGGTATCCAGGTGGCACCCCCACACCAGCCCGCAGGACTGAGGCCACAGCCAGGCCTCCTGCATACACATCCAGCAGGAGAGTGGACAGGAGGAACAGCCCCACTGGGAACGTGGCCCAAGCCAGTCGGCGCTGGTCACGGGATGTCACGGGTCAGAAGACTCCCTTGCCATTGCCCAACCTAGGGGCACTTAGGGGTGACCAGGCAGGTGAGGGAGGACAGGCTCCTTAGGTTGCCCTGTGTCCTCGATGCCCTGGCTCATTCATGTCTGTGCAGTTCTCTGAATATGCGCATCTCTCTCTCCCTCCTCCTGTGCCCCCTGACCCCACAGATGACATCAGTGACGAGCGTGGCAGCGAGGCCGAGGCAGATGCCCGCAGCCAGGGCGAGCCTCTCGTGAAGCGTGAGCGCAGCGACCCCAACCACCCCCTGCAGGGCATCTAGCACCTGGTGCCTTCCACGAGGTTCCCGAGGATGCCGCCCGGCCACTCAGGGAGCCTGGACTCCGTCAGCTCTGCTGCATTAGTGCCTCTTAGATGATGGAATGTTTACTGAGACTCAGGGGGACTCCCGGGGTCAGTGTGCCCTTCCAGGATGACATGCTGTTCAAGAAGAAAAATGATTGTTAATATCGAAGAAGTTCATATCGGGGGCTGTGTTCTGAGTGTACTGAGTGCTACACCAGGACACCTGTCCCTTACACAGAACAAACCCTTCTCTGCTGGAATTGTGAACTCTGGCCCAAGTCCCTTTAAGAGCTGAGAGTTGCTACCTTCCACAGTTTTCTTCTCCATTCAGCATCTCCCACACTTGCGTGCTGGCTGTCTGGGGAGGGGAGACTAAACCTTTGCCCTCAGGGCCTTCTTATGCCTTCCAGAAGGAGCTGCCAGCCCTGAGCCCGCGATGGTGCTAAAACAATTCTTTGCCCAGGACCGTCGATGTCTCCAGTTCGCCTTTGTAAACAGTCTAGACCCGTTCAGCTGTGGCAGAATAAATAGATCTCCAGTTGCTGATGGAACCCACTGGTGGTTCTCAGGGTTTATTCAGCAAGTGGTGGGGACCACTGTTCAGACTCCCTTGAAAATCAGTGCACACCGATTCCTGGACCCCATCTCCCACCATCTGTGGACCTTCTTCAGGCTCCCCTCTGTTGGGCAGTAATCACCCAGGCTCATCAGCCTCCACACCCTCCCCAGCCTCTCAGGCCCAGGGCAGAGAGCTTGACTCGGTGGGATGAGGGTGGAGGCCAGGAGTTGTATTGTTGCGACTGTCTCTTCTTGGGGGACTCTGATGCTGGGGGTTATAGGACTTTGAAGAAACCCCACAGAGAAGGGTGATGGGCTCAGGAACCAGGAAGGACCCACGGGTGGGAGGATGTTCCAGAGAGGTTGATGCAGTTCCCGGTCAGCTGCCCCAGCCCAGGCCCCTCTCTCCCAGGAAGAGGTGACACTAAAATCATCTATCACTTTCCAAGGCTGGGAACTCCAGGGCCTGTGTTTGGTTTGATGCTGTGCTACCTACCAGCTAGAAATTCTTAACTTGTGAACAAAGGGCCCATATTTTCATTTTGCACCAGGGCCTGCAAATTGTGTGGCCAATCCTGGGGAGCTCCCAGGACTCAACTGCGTACCAATTGTGCCACTCCCTGCAGCCTCTGAGCACCCAGTGGGAGTCTACTCGCCCCCACCCTCTTGAGGGTCACAAATGCAGAACTTCCCAACTCTGGGCTCCCTGCAGCTGAGGCCTCTGAGCCAAATCAAGCCACTGCCAGTCCTTCCCTGAGCAGCAATTGTCCCACCTGTACCTACCCCCCAGAGAGCCAGGCCCACTGCGGGGCTGCATGTAGGAGCCCCAGGCCCTGCCCTGGATCTGAGAGGTTGGTGAGGATGTGAGGCTGATTACTGACCAACAGAGGGGAGCCTGCTGAAGGTCCACAGGCCAGCAAGTTCCTCAGGGACCAACTGAGTAGAGCCCTGGGGTATGGATGCCTCACAAACAAGGAAAACCTTGGTCCTACCAAGAGCCTCCAGGAGGCACTGACTGTAACCACAACAGGCTCCACACTAGACATTTTTCCCGTCCCATCTCCTCTTTTTGTTGATCTTCTGAGGTAGGTGTTACCCCTGTTGTACACATGGGAAAGTTGAGGCTGGTGGCTGGAATGCAGACATGATGGCTGGAGCACCAGCAGCCATCTTGGACCTTGAGGTGGAAGTCATATGATAAAGATGTCAAAGCAGTGAGACAGGTGCCTGGGTCCCTGGTGGTGATGGAGTTGCTGTTACAGCCCCCACAGCCTCCAGGCAGACTTCAATAAGCCACAGCTGGGGTGGGAGGGAGAAGGGGGAACCCCAAAGATGTCCCTGCCTTCATGTACTGTCTGGCAGCAAGAACTCCACTGCAAGACGGGAGGTGCCCACACCCCCCAACAAATGCAGACATGCTGAGAAGGGAGAGGTGCTCTCCGGCTGCTGCCCGTCTGCCCTGGGTCCTGCCCCAGGCCCTCTTCCCCATCCACATGCTCGGTGACCTCACCCTTTCCCACAACGGAAACACCCTTCCACCTGCTGCTGGCTGACTCCACCGCTGCTCAAAGGCTCATGGGTGCCTCACTCTTGGCACAGCATGACAGGAGCTGGGCATCTGGCCATTCAGACCTCCTCCCCAGTGTCTCCATCACAGCATGGGCACCACTATGATCACCCACATGGCCCTGTCCTTTGACCTTTCTCCCTCCTCAAAATGCCCACAATCTGGTCACTTCTCTTCTTCCTCTTTGCCATTCCCCAACTCCTCCCTGGCCAGAAGACACAGTGTGGCAGAGTGGCTGGGACTAGACTGCACAAGTCTGAGTGACAGCTCCTTGGTCACTAATGGTGCCCTCAAGTAAATGACTTCCATCAGTTTCCCCATCTGGAAAAGAGATAACAATTCAACACCTCACAGAGTTGTGAGAAATAAGTAAGCTTTCACAATTGTGTTTCAACCTTGGCGCTACAGATTTGGGGCCAAGTCATCCTCTGTGGTGGGGTGTCCTGGGCACTGCAGGTGTTGAGCAGTGTCCCTGGCCTCCACCCACTCCAAGCCAGGAGCGCCCCCCAGTTGTGACAACCACAAATGTCCCCAGACATTGTCTGATGGCTCCTGGAGGACACCTTGCTCTTTTGTGCTCAACTTAATTGGTGCTTCTTCCAGGAAGGCTTCCTGGATGCTCCCCAGCTAGATTAGGGTCATTACACCCTGTATTCCCCATCCCATACTTTATATTAATTACTTGCAAATCTTTCCCATAAGCTCTGTGGGTGAGTCACTATTATCTGCCTAGTTCAATACTGTATTTCCCAGATCCGGTACAGTATGCTCAGCAAATGAGGGGTGAGTGAGTGAGTGAGTGAGCAGGTGCCCTTCACAGTAACCAAGGGAAGGGGGGGATGGGGCCCCGGCGTGGAGGAGAGAAAACAGAAGAGTCACTCAAATCCAAACAGGAGGCCACCATAGGGATTTTTTGATATATTCAAAGCTGGGCTTTAGAACAATTAGTTGTGGCAGGGTGGAAACAAGAAGGAGGGAGGCCAGCTAGGTGCTTGTTAAAATCGTACAGGTGAGGGGAGTGGGGGTGGGGCTGGAGAAGGGGACTGAGGGAGAGGCACGCAGGAGCCATGTGCCCCACCATGGCCAAGGGGTTACTAAATCAAGTTGTTGGGTTATTGCATTAGTCTGTTTTGTGTTGCTACAACAGAACACCTGAGACTGGGTAATTTATAAACAACAGAGGTTTATTGGGCTTATGATTCTGGGACAGCTGCATCTAGCATGGGCCTCAGGCTGCTTCTGCTCAATGTGGAAAGCGGTGGGCAGCCGGTGGGTACAAGCAGATCACATGGCGAGAGGAAACGAGAGAGAGAGAAGGTGCCAGGGTCTTTTAAACAACCAGCTCTTATGGGAACTAATAGAGCGAGAACTTACTCATTACTCCCCCTACCTTGGGAGAGCACTAATCCATTCATGAGGGATCCGCCCTGTAGCTCAAACTGCCACACTGTGGGTTAGATTTCCATGAGTTCTGGGAGGACAATACATCTAAACTCCATCAGTTATGACCAGTTTAGCTTTTTTTTTATTATTATTCTTTTCTATTAACTTTTTTTTAATGGGCCGGGTAGACATAAAACATCAGGGGTGTCAATGTAATAAAGACATATATGACTTTGTAACTTTTTTTTGGCAGCTGGCTGGTAAGGGGATCTGAACCTTTGACCTTGGTATTATAACATCACACTCTACCGAACTGAGCTAACTGGCCAGCCCTGCTTTGTAACATTTTTATTTCAGTATAGATCACGTATATATATATATGCACTCATACGCATACATATATATGAGGTAATGGGCTACAACATAAAATGTATTGAATATAGATACTTTTGAAAGCCATAATACTAGAGAGTCATTCTCAACCCATTTTGAGGTCAGAGACCCCTTCTAGAGTCCTCGGTACTGGAGTTTGCGTGGGGTTTTGCTATCCAGCATCCATCCCACCTTTTTCTTGTTTTTGTTTTTTTTGGCAGCTGGCTGGCGTAGCGATCCGAACCCTTGACCATGGCGTTATGACAGCGTGCTCCAACCAACTGAGCTAACTAGCCAGCCCATCCCACCTTCTTTTGGAATAACACCCCGATTCTCTTTTGGGGAATGACCTTTCTGCCTGCCATGGGTTTAAATACCATCTCTATGTGGGTGACTCTCACATAGTGAGGGAGACAGTTCCAGGCAGAGGGGATGAGCTTAGCACCTGTGAGGAGCAGCGAGGCGGCCTGCGTGGCTGCTGAGAGTGAGAGAGGGGGTGGAGGTAAGATGAGGCTGGAGGGGAATGGGTGGGGGCCTGGAGGGCTCCCTGGATCCCAGGGAGGAGTTGGGATTTCATTCTGGGAGTAATTGCTCACAAGCCTGAGGCTCATGATCTCAAAATAGATTGGGGCCTCTTCTTCATCAGCCCCACGTATGCAGTCGCCCACTTGGATACCTCAAATGGCATCACAAACCCATGGCTGGGCACAAAGAGGCATTTGCTCAATATTTAATGGAGGAGTGGATTGGATGGGGGGGGTAAAAGAGTGCCCTGCTGTGGCGGTCCTATCTGACACTTTCTCCTTAGAAGCTCAACTGCGAACTGGATTGTAAGACTGAAAGCAGTCGAAGTTCTGGAATCCTCGGGGAGGTGCTCACTGATTCTGCTCACAGGTCCTCACTCCCAAGACCCTCTGGAGCTGCCAGTTTCTTCTCTTTTCCCTTTGATATCATGGGCATCCTCATAACTTTACAGCAAATTCCCCCTTTGCTTACATTTGCCAGAGGTGGATTGCGGGGGTTGCAACCCATCTCCAGACTGATACACCCTCAGTACTCATGAACTCCCAGAAGATGCCAGACCCTCAACGGAGGCAGAGCCTTAGAGTCCTGGGAAGTTTTCTCCTGGAGCCCAGCTTTGAATTCATCCCAATCCTCTGCCGCCCCCCAGTGGTCACTATGTGACACAGCCTCATCCTTTTCACGGGGGCGGGGCAGGCCCGGATGTTGCCTGGAAGCGTAGATGTTTACTTCGCTGCAACGTTGCATGATAGGGAAGACCACACACAGCAGAGTGAAAGAGTTGGCGTCCTTCCCTCCTTCCCCTCTCTCCTGTTCTTTCGCAAGTATTCCCTATTTGTTTACATAGACTCAAAGTATCCTCCCACACGATACTCAGTAATTTCAAAGAGAAAAATCGTCATCTGGCTG